GAACATATGGCTTTAGTCCCACATAAAATATTCTTTACCTTTCATGTGATTATACTACCAATGCTGGATTTATACACAAACAGTAAAGCAAACCTTCGTAAGCACCAATATACAGATACCATATTTGCGTTGGTTTATGTAAGCTTGAAAGTGATTATCGTTGATCCATGTCGATCTTTGTGTGCAAATCAATCAAGAAGTTTGCAGCAAGTGTTTGCATACGTCCATATGTTTGTACAAATATGGTTCAGTTATTTGCCATTCATTTGTAGATGCATTAGGATTGCACCTAGTGGAAAATGTATTAGCCTAATATAATGTTTATTAGAAACCTTAATTATATCTATAGGTATAAAGATATATCCATCCACCGTTACATATTTGTCGTGAGATTGCAATGAGCGTATTATTGCATTGTTTGAAAGTTTGATCGTAAATGTAATCTTTGATTCTTTTTAATGATGAGAAATGCTTTATACAAAAATTTTATGACTTCGTCTCTTTCACTCGCGTTTCTATCATTAAATTGCGTTGACATGGGTGTTGTAATATGGTAGTGAAAATATCTGTACCACACAGATTTAGACTTTATTCTGTGGTCAAACCTATAGTTATGTTTACGTCTATTCTGTCTAAAACGTCTAATGTTTTCATCAATTGGACTGCCAAATTGGAAAATGCCACTTACATAAAAAGTATTTATATCACTTTGTTTATTCACAACAATTCAAACAGAAACGGATTCGCGAGCAAAATTACCAAACAACTTTAGATACGTAACAGCAAGAACGCTAATGACACAAGTACATCCAAGTTCAAGAAAGTTGTGTGAAATGGCTTGGTAATAATGTGAGAGCATCGTGAGCTGTGAGATTAATAAGGTTACTTAATATTACTTCGGTAAGACTAAAGCAAAACCTCACGATGATACCAAACATGTGAACTTTGTTGACATTGTTAATTATAATAGGCATGGAACTGTATAACATGGTTGCAAAGTTGTTGCTCTTATAAATTACGATGTCAATGGATGTAAACATTTTATAAAGTGATTTGATTTGAAAGTCGATATACTCTTCCGTTTGTTCTCCTGCACAAGTGTCAATTGGACTGCAATTATGTTCTATTAGGATACCAAGTGACGAATCTCGCTACGACCAAATACTGAAAGATGTTCTTGAAATTAAATCGGGATCACCAGTTATGGGAATTGGTAATGGAAATATCAATTTGCAATGTCTATATAATTTATATTTGTAAATCACCGTGTCTTGGTAATCTCTTATAGACTTCCGCGATACAGGTTAGCCTAGTGCGGGGTCCAATGTACTCACATTGTAAATTTCTTGTATTTAATAAATAAATATATTTTTTAAAGAATGATAACATAAGAGTAAAGCAACGCGTGCAATCCCGCATAAAATTTGCTACATCTACTATTTATTTTCTATGTTAAGTTTTACAGCTCTGAGGTATGTTGTAGGTATACACCATAGATGGTTCTGGGATCAGTTGACAATTCAGTATTGTTATTACTATTTTCATAGTCAGGATGTGATATCAAGAGTTTCTTGTCCACCTTCATTATACACGATCTGTGTCGTGGCTTTTTAGACAGAACTAAGGACAGAAATAAGGGTCAATTTGAGAAGATACAAATATGACTTGCAAAATTTAATAGTTAAAAGTAGATTAATAGTTACGAATAAGTTAGGTTTCAATCTTGGAATTTCCAGATCTCAACTGAGCATTGTTTATCTGAGTTATCGGTATCGTTATTAGCTTCATTTAGGTTGGTATTTAGTGCAAAATTCAAAACTGAGATATTGTTTGTAAATAAGACGCTGCAGACTAGAGTTGGTGTAAAAAGAGATGGAGCATTCTGTAATAGTTTGGGCATATAGAAAGAATATCGTATAACTAAAGAAAGAAAGATACTCGTACAATACACAGGGAAACCCTGACTAACTAATAATAATTAGATGGATCGAAAACCAAAAAAGAAATTGAAATCACAGAAAATACTGTGTCTCTACGGTACTCCTCGTGTACATAATTTTGCATAGCTTCATATGGGGTAGCCAGAAAGGAAAATTTGTACTGTAGGTTAGCTTTAATAGGCTAATTATTGCAATTGTAATTATCACAGAGATTTCTAGGTTTTTTTTTTAAAATAATATGTAGTTTACGTTTCTCGCAAATAATGTAGCTTTATATTATAGGTGAAAGAATTTTTAAAATCAGTTGGATAGTTTATAACTTTATCAAACAAACAAATATAAAAAAAGCAAATATTTCTTCTTTATAATATTACGGGTACACAATACTAAATGATATTAATTAAATTCATGTTCCAAAAAAAAAAAATTAGAATGCTTCCACGTATATAGAGACATTAATGGAAGTAAATTCTGCATATAGCTAAAATAATTAACAAAATAAATTTTGAATTGATCAAAATATTATGCAATATAAGGCACACGAAAATATACGGATGAATTGAGACGCTATTCCTTTTGAGAGTAGCTTAATTAGATACCAAGATAATATCAATACCTGCGGAGCCCTCCTTAATGAGTATTAGATACGATCTTGGTCGATTTTTGAATTCCTTCTCGGGGCAAAATTAAGTGACGTATTTTTCTTTTTAATTTCACTTAACTAAATGTTTACTTAGTATAAATAATTAGATATGCTCGCATTTAAGGGAAACTTTCAACATTCTACATTGGATTTGACCCAATTTTATTTTACATTTATTTTTATAATTACCTAATTATAAAATTAATTTGCAGTTTCTTTGATTGCACGGTATTTTTAATTAAATATACATTTAGCTAATTAGTCTAATTTTTTAAAACACATTAAAAAAAGTAGCATCATTATCTCTGACATTATTTGTCCAATGTTGAACATAGGTCTCCACTATAGACTGCCCTAAGGAACAGTCGAAATGGGAAAATAGCATACTATAAGAAAATATTCAAAGATTAGTTTTAAGCCACAACTTAGCCACAGCCAAAAGCAGCCTATATTCTTCTTTCCCTTAACCCCCTTATTCATAAATACGTCAACCTATTTTAGCTATTGAACTGTTTTGTTTCTTAACTTTACACTAAATTCTCATTTTAAAAGAAAGTCACAAAGTCTAACTGCGGTTGCTAAATCGTCTGCCAAGCGTGGCAGTTACTGGCAAAGCCTCCCAATGGTAATCACCAGAAAGTAATATTATATAATCAATAAAATAAAATTCTATAGTAATTCTATATAATTAAAATCTAAAGGTATAACAAAAACAGTGAAATAAACTCACTTTTATATTTATAACCTTTATAAAGATATAAACTGTTTATCCAGTACAATGCCGTGAGTATTTATTAGTCTTAATAAATAAATCAATAATTTCAAGAAAAATATTTATCAATAAATAATATTATATATCAGAACAATACACTTATGTAGAAGGAAAAATAGAGGGCAAAAGAAGAAGAGGAAAACCAAGGAATAACTACATAGGACAGATAAAAGAAACACTAGGAGGTCAAGGATATATAGCCTGGGATAGAACTAGCTGGAAGAAGATGCATGAATTAGTTGCTTATACAGAAACACTTATGTATATTGAACTATTTAGAGCACTGTACAGATAATGGCTGATGTGGTGATGATGATGATGATGAACATTAGACTGATCACGTTTATCCTCCAATTAAAACATTTTAAACCTTATATTTAATACTCTAGAACATAGAAATTAAGGTAAACATTTGAAAAATAATTTCAAACATTCCTGTAATATTATTTTCTAAATGGAAAATTACAATATTCAAATACTAGTATCAAACATGGCTACCGGCTAACATATTCTCGAAAACAGTGAAAGCGTAACAAACTTTTGTAATTTACCATCACAAAATCAATACATTTATAACTATTTTTGACGAAACTAAACCATTAATATTCAACTATCAATTTACTATAACTTCACCCCAAAATTAGAGTGGTGAAATAAAGGCTTATGACTTTTTAATTGCCCCCTTGATTACTGTTTGTTTAAGTGGACGAAAGTTCATAAATAATATCAGAAATTAACTTCCAAATTATATGTAATGGACTTTTTTAGCATAACAATTTGGAGATGGTATGGACTTTTATTCCAGATATACCAGTGGGAGACTTTGTATAAAAGTCGTTTGCTTGGCCACGTCTGTCTCATTCGTGTTTCTACCGCGTAAGTGGTGTGTGGGCAACAGTAGTGCAAAACAGAAATAAAAACGGCGCTGGTAGAAAAGAAGAATTACGACATTAATAAAATAATATATTGAGAGAGGATTACCGATATAATTCATTCAGACGTACATAATACAACAATAATATGTCAATCAAGAAGAAAAACAAAATAGGTATCAAAAAGACCTGTTCATAATATAAAAATATAAATCTAAAAAAGGTAAACTTATATAAAAAGAGGTCTGTCGCCAACAAGAAATTTAAAGAACAATATAAAAGTTATATTTTGATATTACTTTAATTTATATAATTTAATATTACCAGAGGGAGACTTTGTACAAAAGTCGATTGCTTGGATACCTCTGTCCCATTCGTGTTTCAACCGTGAAGCAGTTATGTTTGCATGGCTGTGTTTCGGTTTGAAGGGTGGGATATGGCGCGAATTTACTGGGTACAGAAGAATAACACCTGAATCCTCAGGAATGGCAACGCATGGGGGGTATCATGAGCGAAACAGTATACTCTGTCATGTCCATGGTATTGTTCATGTCTATAGGCGACGGTTACCACCTTCCATCAGGTGGGCCGTCAGCTTGTTTACCATTCTAAGTTGTATAAAAAAAATAACTACTGATTTATTTAGAAAACTCAGCTTTCAGGACCCTTAATCAGGGCCATTCGGGATCCCTAATCATGAGCGCTGTGATGACAGAGCGAGATTCATTGTGCGCCCATATATTATTATTATTAGACAAATAGATAATACTAACCTGAACCACTGTCGAAATAATCTGTAACAAAGAAAATAAATTATATAAACGATTGTAAAAACATGTAGAAAATATAGGCTGAACTCTATTCTTAGATAAGGTAGCCAGAATATCGGAATCCAAGATTAGAATAATAAATCTAATTAGTTTTACCGAATAATTAAGTTTGTTATTGTTTTAACATTGCCAGGGAGTTTGTCCGGAACTTTATTCTCTACAACAGCGATTTCTAAAGTTAATTCCATTAAATTTATATTCAATAGAAATTTCATCTACAATAGTTTTCCCAAATCTTTGTTATCTATAAATACATCTTAAACTGTATTAAGGATACCCTTGAATTCTTCTGCATCGCAATTCGTGTCTAAATTAAACGAATTTGTGTACAATCCGTATTCCCGAGTTTACTCACGTGCAACCTCAATTTGCGTCTTTAATTTACCACCCTGCGGTGTGGGTTCGATAAAATAAAGAAAATTTATTGCGTGCCCATAACCTTGAACATTTAGGAACTACTACTATGTAACATATTTGCAGAGTTATATAGCCTTGCTTCCAGAATGGTTACATATCAAGAGACATAAAATTTCATTACTGACATTATGTTGAAAAATTTAAAAACTACGGAGTCACTACAAAGTAGCTAACTTTAAGGAAATCATATGTGAACTATCTTTTATAAACATATATGAAATCAGTTGCTTTGAGGTTTTTTTTTTGAGTGAAAATGGAATGGTAACCCCGCCTGCGCTAACGGGATATGCTGGCGGAGCACCAGTGAAGGGTGATAGATGAGAATGAAAATAGGCCAGTTAGCCCATCATGATGAATTCATCAGGAATTAACCATGATAGTTTCCAGGGAGAACCGCGAGGAGGTCGACCTGGTTGGGTGTATTGCTAGCAATGGGATTATCAGTCTTCATTACTAACAATCCCTTTCCCCCCGTTGCTCTGAGGTTAGGTATTTCAACCTAAGAACAATACACCCATATAGGTAATAAATTAAAAAAAATGCTCTTCAACAGATTCAACCCGCATTTCTCAGTTATTCGGGCTGAATGTTTTTCCAGTTACTCCAATGGATGGATACAAACCAACATTTACTACCAGCATGTTTTATCTACCATCTATACTATCCTGTTGGGAAAGATTATATTTTTCAATGAAATATTTAAGATTCCCGAATGCGAGCATTATTGTGAGGGTATAAAATATTTACGAGAACCATTCTTGGAGAGCAGCTTTGGCTGATCGGCTTTTATATCTGATTTGGCTTGACCTGGTTAAAGATTAAATCGGATTTCTTGGGCTTCATTTCCGTGAAACCAATATTAATCTCCAAGGTAGGTATGTAATTGAACGTCTCTCACATTTAGTAGAACTCGTTCAAAAAGGACTTCTCATAATAGATTGCCTCAGAGCAGATCCCCGTAATTTAAATGCCATTTTTCATTCAATCAATCTTGTTTGATATGCCTTGTCATGTTACGTAATATATGTTCACCTCAACAGGCATTCGCAAAAGGATGGTTTCGGTTAATATTAATTTCTGTCTTCGGAAGCAGTGTGCACGCGTGAGGCGTGATACAAATTCTCTTTGCTTACTTACGGGTCACTTAATTTAGGTTAACGTCGTTCAATAAAACTGGTGTGAAAATCGCAAATAGATAAGTAATTGTAAATAATTATTACAATCTGTTTTATTCCCGTTTTGATATTCGAGTATCTTATCTTTTATTTGCGTACGGGGTCAGCTAAACCACTGCACATTAATCTACTGAGATTTTTTATGCTTTTCCCTGTTTTATATTATCAATTTAGAGATTCTATGTACCTTTACGATATTTTGCGTTTTAAGATAGCTATAGTCTTCTGGCTCCAAATAAGCCGTTCCCAGTAAACTCATATGTATACTTCTTGCCAACGAACGTTATTAAAGTCAGTTTTTAATCATCATCGCCTTTTCTACTAAAAAGAATAGCCATTATTTGACTATACACAGTTATTGGATCACTACCATCTAGATTATTAGGCGTCATGGTGCTGTCATCACCTCAGCACCGTGTTTATCGTCAAAAAACTGGAGATTATTCTGTCTTTTTTGTGCGTGGCATACAGCCAATGCGGATGCAAGATTGTCGCTATTTCCTTGAATCTGTGGATTGTGGAGTATACTTCTCTTTTAAAATTTCCTCTCTATTCATACCTGTGCACGACGCACCTTTTTAGTTTCTTTTTTAATTTTATTAAAAAGATGTTCTTATTATAATTTGAAGTCTGTGTCAGTTTTCAGTTTTGTTTTCCTTCGCTTTTTTACTCCGTTGGTTTGCTATGTATATTTTTTATATAATTATATTATCTTTCTAAAACACCGTGTTTCCATACCAGCATACAGTCCTTTCGCCCACAATACCCATATAGAGTTTTTCCAAAAACGTGCATACAAATTCTTACAATACAAACACCGCTTGTATTGCAACACTTCTAATTAATATTCATGGATGTTCGTATGTATTTATATCGAGAAGACTGTAACATGAATAAAACAGTTACAAATATTGCGAACAATGTTGGACTTATCTCTTTAAGTTTTCTCTTCTAGTCACTCAAACAGAATAGAATAAAAAATATATTTACATATACTACTAATATTATAACTATGAAATTTTGTAAAGTTGTTTGTATATTTGTTACTCAATCATCCATATATGAGTAGGTTATATCAATAATTAATACTAGTTTCTGTTTGCATATTTGCTAGTATATTCGATTTCACGTGGAAATCACATTTCTATCTCAGTGTTATAAATTACAGCTATTCCAGAATCTCTGCAAAGTATTTTATTTATTTTATCTATAAGTCTAAAACTAAAGTTTCATACTTCTAGTTTCTATTACAACAGAACTCCCATACTTTTCCCATTCATTTTCACTTGTATATCCTATTTCACCACTTTAGGTATGAATTATTCAAACGTACAAATTTTTGTTTTGAACCAAGAGTCCTAAACCTAAAATTCACGTGTTTAACTTCAAAACAGGCATAAATTCATACAAATTTTTAATCCTCTTTTTACTTCTTTAGGAGTTGAATTTTTTAAATTCCTTTCTTCTAAATTTACTTAAACTATATAAGAACCCAATTAGAAAAATTTCAAAACTAGATTCAGCGGTTTTGGCACTGATATGGTATGAGTCAGTCAGTCAATCGGCATTCTCTTTTTTAAATTGGTGATGGTTGATTCTATGTTGATTCATACGAATAAAGTCATGAGAAATAGCTAGTAAATTATTACTATTCACTAGTTCAAGTCAAAGTTTAATCAAAGTCATGTTAATTTACAGTTCATTAAATGCCTTACAAAGTGGCTGATGGTTATTAAATTCGATGAGCGTACTATTTTTGGCCAACCTTCGTTCGGCATTCACTTGACGAGCCCTTGTCTAAAATATAAGAACTTAAATTTAGAAGTGCTAATTATAATATTATTAAAATAATAAGCTTTAAACGTATCAAGAAGAATGAAGTTAATGATATTTTGGAGACACAGATCAAGGTTATTTAATTGTGTCTGTTAGGAATCAGCCGTTAAATATATTTTATTTAATTATATTTTATACAACTTGGAATGGCAAACAAGCTGATGGCCCACTTGATGGAAAGTGGTTACCGTCACCTATAGACAACAGCAGTACCATGGACATAACAGAGTATAGTATTTCGCCCATGATCCCCCCATGCGTTGTCATTCCTGAGGACTCAGGTATTATTCCTGTGTACCCTGTAAATTCACTGCCATAATCCACCCTTCAAACCGAAACACAGCCATGCAAACACAACTGCTTTACGCTAGAACACGAATGGGGAAGAGGTACCCAAATAAACGACTTTTGTAGTCTCCTTCTGGTAAATCGAAGTTAATGATATTTCGGCCACAGAGACCAAGGTTATGTAATTGTGTCTGTATCGAATCAGCTGTTAACCGTCTTTTGTTGAACATAGGCCTCTTCCATAAAAGGGATTTTGTCAGTTGTTGCCACGCTTGGTATGTGGGCTAGTTAATCGCAGTTAGACTTTGGTGATGTTTTAAGAGGGACAATGCTGCCCATCCTTTGAACATCGAGTTGCCTAAGTCACCTTTTACGATACCCACGGGAAAGAAAGTGGTGGCCCATTCTACGCCGGGACTAAACGGCAATGTGTACATTATTATTATTTATTTTACTTTACTTATTATAGACCATAACCCATGCAAACAAAAAATTGTCATTTTTTATGTTCCTATAATGATGATACCTATTGTATGCTATTGTTTCTATATTCACTCAGGATGGTGTTGTCACGTGTTTTGCTGAATAAAAAAAATCAGCCAAATCGTCTGTATTTGAATGAATGAATGGTTTATTTTCTTTTAACAAAAGGTAGTATAAAGTGACAACTTGAGGTACAATTTGATGTGAAGACCAATTTTGTGAGAGACTGGTAATTGCGGTAGGTTTTGAAGAACCTGTGTATTTAAGCATACGAGTAGGTTTCATAGTTTATCAAAAGGAAGAGCTCTGAGCTACCTGTATCCAATAACTTCTTGTAACATCATCATCATCGTATCAGCCATAATGTATAAGCCCTGATGTGTAAAATATTTGACGTTATTAATTTGCTTCGTCTGATAAACAATGCCTTTGCTTTTACAAAGATCAAAGACCTGAGAATTCTGTTTAAGATCGTAAATAAAAATTGCGTACAGATGTTGCATCTCTGTGCATCTTCTACCGAATTTATCATGGAGAGTGCTCTAAGGAATTGTTCAGATTAATACCTGCTGCTGACTTTCACCACCGTACAACCCGCCATAAACTAAAATTTCATCCCAACCATCTGAACGAGTGGCGGTCTTCCATTATGCGTTTTTCAAAGCACATTCTTCCACGTACAACCACTCTTTGGAATCAATTTCCAGCAGCAGTATTTCCGAACCGATACAACATCATAACCTTCAAGAAAAGAGCATATTCCTT